ATAGATATCAGATTTGATCATTTGCAGCATACGTTTTTCCAGCATTGAGTTAGCGCTAAAGGTATTTTTACACAGCGAAGTTATTTCGGGATACCAGAGGTATCTTGAAATATAGCGGATGTGCTATTTCACCATCCCTGTAAACCTCATTCTATGAGGAGTAAGGGATGGCTCAAAATAGCACTTTATTTTGGAATTTAGTACTGTGTAGACAGTGCCAAATGTCGAGACTCGAAATAAGTGTAGACACAGTCTAAATGTGTTCCTCGGTGAACCACAATTGCATAATTCATCCTGCTATGTTACAAAGTCCAGAAGAAGTTCCTTCCCAGGGATAAAATACTGGTATTAATGGGTATTTAATCTAGTATAGACAATCATAACAAGAACCAGTGGCTAGAAGTTATATCCAGACAAATGTATATTAGGAACAAGGCATACATTTTTACCTGTGGGGGAATAAACTACCAAGGGAAATCATGGATTCTTCATTCTCATGAAAGTCTTCAGATCAAAACTGGATGCTTTGCTGGAAGGATATGCGCCGTGATGGAATTCTCTGGCCTGTGTTATACACATCAGACTAGATGAGCTGATAGTCCCTTCAGACCTTAAACTCTATTAATCTAGGTGTTCCCAGAAAAGAGCCACAAATATTGGTAACTTCCAGAGTCATGTTAACAAATTAGATCAGTCAGTGGCCTTTCCAGGGTAGCTCTTCTTACTGTATGTTTTTAAAATATGAATCATTTGAATTTATATCCTCCTCTATTGTGCTATGAGACATCTTAACCCCCTTAAAAATTGTAATGTACACACACCACTAGAGTATATAGTGGCAAAACAGTACATGTTGTGGAATAATAAAGTACTGCATATAGGCAGGAAGAATTAGCTGTCATTATGGTAGATGTTCATATATCAGAAAATTCCAGCAAAATATAGCATTTCCACAATTAAATCAAAACTTAATCCACCAAAAGTATGTACAGTTAAATTAAACATAAGCAGATAAAATCAGTGTTCATATTTTTGTCCCTATTCAGATAGAGATATCCAAAATTAAAGTAAATTAACTAGGTTATTAAAATCCACTTTGCTTGATCTTGATTTTAGATTTAAACAATATTTTAGCAAATACAGGCAGTTAAGGTTTATTTTACTGCAAATACAGGCAGTAAAACCAGATAACTGAAAACTGAGGCAATTCTGTTTGACCTGGATTTGATAATACTGACAAGTACTTCCATTTTTGCAAGCAGAATTAGACCGTATTCTTTGCATTACACTAGCATTTAGTAATCCTATCTCAGAATGGCCTTCTGCTAGGCACAGTTAAAAGTCAAAGATGACCTGGCCCTAAGGAACTTGCAATCTAAATAGATATAACATGCGCATAATAGGGTAAAGATACCTGCATGAATTAGGAGCACAGCGACACTGATTCTTAACTCACTTGGGCTACGTCTAGACTGGCATGATTTTCCGGAAATGCTTTTAACGGAAAAGTTTTCCATTAAAAGCATTTTCGGAAAAAAGCGTCTAGATTGACATGGATGCTTTTCCGCAAAAGCACTTTTTGCGGAATAGCATCCATGGCCAATCTAGACGCGTTTTTGCGCAAAATATCCACCATCGCCATTTTCACGATCAGGGCTTTTTTGAGCAAAACAAATCTCAGCTGTCTACACTGGCCCTTTTGCGCAAAACTTTTGCACAAAAGGGACTTTTGCCCAAATGGGAGCAGCATAGTATTTCCACAAAAAGCACTGATTTCTAACAGTAGGAAGTCAGTGCTTTTGCGGAAGTTCAAGCGGCCAGTGTAGACAGCTGGCAAGTTTTTCCAGAAAAGCGGCTGATTTTCCGGAAAAACTGGCCAGTTTAGACACAGCCTTGGTGTTTTTAAAAATCTGACCCTAAATAGACAAGACAGGCAAAGGGTAGGCAGAGAATCAGGCTATATCTACACTACAGTGATCTATTGGAGAAAGGTACGCAAATTTTTCCAATAGTTTTTTCAGAAGAGGCTTTTCCAAAATTTGGCCCATCTACAATGGGCCAAATTTCAAAAAAGCCTTCTCTTTTGAAAGAGCTCTTCTTCCTCATGGGAGGAGGAAGACAGAGCTTCCAAAAGAGCGCATCTGCTTCTCTGCAAAAAAATGCGTCTGCTCTTCCCTGGATGCTGCAGAGTTTTTCCAGGTATCCCAGAAAAACCTCATAGTGTAGACTTAGCCCCAGACGCACAGAGAAATGAAATAATTTACCTGGGACATTTACCAAGGAAATGTCAGAGCTGGGAATAGCACTTATGTATCCCAAGTTCCAGTCTCGTCCCTTGCGCACTAATCATGCGGCCTCTCAAATGTATCCTTATTTGTGAGAATCATCAAAGCTTTATCCAGCCCCATCGAATGACCTGAACATTGTTTGATCTATCCATTTCTTTAGCAAGTGCCAGGATTCTGAGTGCTCTGGTCTAAGGACCAGCATGGTGTTGGTGCATATTTGTGCATGAGCACAAATCCACAATTTCAAAGACATGTAGTTAGATATCCAGTCATCTAGCTTTGTGTGTGCACACATGGGAGACTTGCACAGACATATGCCATTCTGTATGGACCATGTAGGTGAGCAGATGGACACCAATGGCAATGACAAAGAAGCCAAAAATCAGCCCTTTGCATGCGTATTTAATGTCCTTATAGGCAGCAAGAGAACTGTGAAACAACTTTGTATTTCATAGCTAATGTCAGCCCATGAAAATTGTATTGAATATTAAAAGGAAAAATGACACCTTGGCACTTGAACTGACTACATCTTGTGAGAGGTGCAAAGCCACTTCACCTTCAATGATTTATTAGACACACTTCTGCTTTCCTCTGGAAGAAAGAATTACCCAAGGAAAAGATTCTCCATTTGGTACATTTCCCATTCCTGTAAGTTACATGTGCACATTAAAAGAGGAACTTACCTCCTAGTCTCTTTTCCTCTGACAAATAGGTTGTGCATGGAAAAACTGGGCACCTATTCAAATTAATCTATGTTGGCAAATATTTGATTCAATTCATGGAGCTCCATGGAACACTAGGCTGAGTTCTAGGAGATCTTCAGCTGCTGGAAATATTCCCCTCCTCCCCAAGTCTATAGAACTATTATGACTTACATCAATTAAGAATTTTCCTCTCCCCCTCTCTTTGAATCTGGATTTGGCAGAATCTTGCTGTTCACCACTTTATGTGGAGGGAAATCTGATTTCCTTGTAGCAGATTCAATGTTCTTTGATTCCCTCCCTCCTCTCTCAAAGTCAGGGAGGTCTGCACCTAGAGATACAAGGCTGCAACTGATATGTGTTTGCAAGTCCAGAAATGACAACAACCTTTCAGGTGCTATTTTCTGGCTTCTAGCAAAAGCATTGTGCATTGCTAATTGGACCATATGGAATTTCATTTTCCTCAACCCTTTTTAACAGTACAATATACTGTATCCTCTAACTCTAGCAGCTGATCTGTGCTATCCACACCTTCAGTGTGTCTCTTGTAATGTGTTTCACATATAGGCTTGTGTTTGATTCTGTTCTCCTGGGTTCTGACCTCAGATGAGAGCTGTAAATGGTGGTTGGTGGCAAGAAAGTACAATCATTTCCCCTTTATCAGTTTATTTTATTCCCTGCAGTTCTTCACAGCTCTACATTTTACTAAGTTTTCTCTTTATCAGTATGTCTAACAGGTGGCCGCTCTGATGCCTCTCAGCCTCCAGTTTGGTGCCTTGTAGCTTTCTTCCTGGCTGAGAAATGTCGCAGATGGAAATGAGCAGTTTCATCTCTTCCTGCCAGCTGTACAGTGATCATGTGATGGCAGTCACTCCAACCTGCCTGAGACTATGGTGTAGAAGTTGCATAGGAGTAGTCCCAGATGGAACCTGTGTCTGGTAGGACTATTCTATCCTTTTCAAAAAGGCAAAGTGATGTAGGTGAACATAACATCTCTGACAAGAGAACCAGACAGGGTGCCAATTTTGATTATGTTCTTGCTGGCCAAGGAAATGGAGTTTTATCTTCATCCCTTACATTGTTTATTCCAGGACAGTGTTGAGGTGCACTAATAGGGTGAAGTGGGCAGATTGTATTGCTGATCTTATTCAGTAGATGTTTGATTTTGTTTCATTGGGTTTTCAATTTAGCAGATGCCTCTCAAAATGTTCTTTTAAAAGATTATTTTAAAAAAATATACAGTGTGTAGATATTTTTACTCAGATTTCCAGTTACACAAACCCCAGTTAATAGGCTCTCCCACCAGAGAGAACTGAGGGATCCTCTATTATCTATTATTTATGTATTATAAGGGCACTCAAAACTCCCAGACAGGACCGTACTAACTGCTGTACAAACACATTGGAAGAGACAGTCCTTGTCTTAAGGAGTCTGAAATATAAACAAAAGATGCAAAGGGAGGCAGAAAGAAAGGATGAGGTGGGACTAGGGTGAGCATAGATACTTAATTGATGCTACATTCCTCTCAAAGGCTGCATTACATGTACATATATGTATGAAGAGACACACGGAGAGAGAGAGAGAGAGAGGAAGAGAGAGTCTGATTTTTTGACTGCTTCTTATAGTCATTGCATATACAGTATGGCTACGTCTACACTGGCACCCCTTTCCGGAAATGCTTAAAACGGAACAGTTTTCCGTTGTAAGTATTTCCGGAAAAAGCGCGTCTACATTGGCAGGATGCTTTTCCGGAAAAGCACTTTTTCCGGAAAAGCGTCCGTGGCCAATGTAGACGCGCTTTTCCGGAAAAAAAGCCCCGATCGTCATTTTCATGATCGGGGCTTTTTTGCGAAAAACACTACTGTGCTGTCTACACTGGCCCTTTTCCGGAACAGTTTTTCCGGAAAAGGACTTTTGCCTGAATGGGAGCAGCATAGTTTTTCCGGAAAAACACTGACAATTTTACAGTACATCGTCATTGCTTTTCCGGAAAAGCAAGCGGCCAGTGTAGACAGCTCGCAGCTTATTCCGGAAAAGGGGCTGCTTTTCCGGAATAAGTGGCCCAGTGTAGACACAGCCATAGGGATACGTGTATACAAAGATGGAAATGAAGACGTGTTTCAAAAAAATTGTATGTACTTGGGTATGGGAGGCCATATGACGTTAGAAGAAATTGGAGGCATGGATAGAGGTAGCAGTAAAGGCACGGATAACACAGATAAAGGAAAGAGAAGGAGGAAAAGAGACGTAATAATAGGAGAATGACAGCAGGAACAGTCACATAGGACAGATCAGAGGACTTCATCCCCATTGTTCGTCTAGGATCTTTCTTAGAACTAAATTTACCTAAAGTTAAAATGCTTTTTCTTCCCTCTTATATCCAAACTAGGCCTTCCAGGTGTATTGACAAACTAGATATTTCAATTCAACTCTTTTTTTCACATCCAAGGGCAGTTATTCATGTGTCCCACAGTGTTACCTCTCCCTTTTATCAGATCGATAATTACTTTTTGGGTCACTGTCTAGCTGACTTGATTACAGACCTAAAAATGAGAAGATCCGTCTCCCATTTTCTATCTTCTGGCTCATCCACTCTTCTTTGAGCAATTTCAATGGCAAACTTCAGTAAACGAAATGCTATCTTTTCTGCATACGTTAGACTTACTGTAGCTAGGTAACCAATGAATTGGTTTATTTTAATCTTGTCAATTGTGTTCCATGTAAGGAGGCTGGAACACAATTATAGTGACCTTTAGAGATGGATGGCTTTTGGGTAGGAGTGGAAAAAGTTTCCTCATCCCTTTGGAGTATACCTGCTATGTAAGTTAGACAAGATTGGGAACCCTTTTTTCATATTTTTTTTCATGTTTTTAGATCAGTGTAGCTTACCTCTTAAGAACAACAGCTAGAAAAGGCTCCGCTAACTGATTTGGTATCAGAGAACTGCATACATATATTGAAAGCTGTGGTAAGAATCACCACTACTCTGTCTTGAGTGACCATTTAAAAGGAACTTTACCCATCACACTTACCTGGTGACATGCAGCTTAGGAGAAAAGATCAGATTTTCAACATGACCTAGGGTCCCAATTGCTTAAAGTGGGGAGGAATGCAATTCATTGCTGAAGATATCTTACCCAGAATGCCCTCCCATTTCAGCTAGAAGGATGTTAATGAGAAGAATTTCATTTTATCACAGCTGTCACACTATACTTTCATATAATAGGCCAATATTCACCTCTGATTTATCAGTGGGATTACACCTGGGGTGAATTTGGACTACGGTGACTCAGTCAGTAATGGTGAACTAGACTGTAGAACTTTCACTGTTATATGTTACTCAGGTGTTATCTCTGTTCTTTTCTTATTTGCTAAACAAAAGGGCAACAATTTTAAATTTAATTTAAAAGGTCTCCAGACAGATTTAGTATTGGAAAAGAAGATATAGAGGGATGGAATAATGCACCCTGTTTTATTCTGGCCATTGTATTGTATTCTCATATGTTCTAATAAAGTATAAAATGACTCTCTGCTATGTTTGCTCCTGAGATAGCAGGGGTATTTTGAGATTGCAGTCTTCTTGGATTATTGAGATAATTCCCTCAGATCTCAATGGGTCAACAATAAAGTGGTGGCCACAAATACACGGCTGCTTCAATCCAGTGCCAGTCCTTCTCCCCTCTTTGCTAGGCAGCTGTGTACACATTGTCCTTTAATTTTACAACTTCAGTGCACCCTTAACACTCAAGGCACAACCATAAAAGCAATCAAATAGGGGTACTTAGCTAAACTTCCATAACGATTTGTATGGTGTGGCAGGTGACACCCCTTTACTTTCATTCTAGGGATTGAGTTATCCTGTGATGAGTGGGAGATTCATGAGACTCTGTGACATTAATAGGTAGCAAGTTTAAAAGAAAAGAAAGTATTTCTTCACACAACGCACAGCCAACCTATGGAACTCCTCGCCAGAGGATGTTGTGAAGACCAGGACTTTAACAGAGTTCAAAAAAGATCTAGATAAATTCATGGGGGATAGCAATTAGCCACGATGGGAGGAATGGTGCCCCTAGCCTCGGTTTGTCAGAAGCTGGGAATGGCAACAGGGGATGGATCACTTTATGATTCCCTGTTCTGTTCATTCCCTCTGGGGCACCTGGCATCGGCCACTGTTGGAAGGCAGGAGAGTGGGCTAGATGGACCTTTGATCTGACCCAGTATGGTCATTCGTATGTGCATATTAATAAGGAAAATTGTACTCTAAATTTCTGCCAGTCACGGAAGAACCCACCTCAATGTACTACTAATATACATGACTAGAAAAAAACCTTGCCATTTCAAAAGACCAATTATTTAGGTTTAATAACCCATAATTTAGTATTTCTGAATTGTTAGGAATTTCAGCAAGATTAGAAAGGTGAAGAAATGGGTTCGCATTACATCAAGATTATATGGCAAATTTTCACACCACATTTGAGACATTTGTACTAAAATTTTAGCGTGAGCTCACAGAGTCATTTTATAAAGACCACTCTTTGGACAGGCTAATTTGTCTATCTGTGTTCCATTTTAGGGCTTGATTTTAACGTGTGATTATTGCCACTAATACCACAGAAAGGGTAGGAAATCCATTAAATGTCTACAAGGGCAACTGGAATGGAAAATTCCTAAAGAAATCCTATTAGATTTTTCCCATCAAATCAACAGTACAGACTTTTTGTGCTTTTCTTAATTATACATTGATATTAACTGGACTGTTGCATGATTTAAATCTGGCTCTTCTTCTCAGCTAGTCTGGGCTGCTGTAGTTTTTATGGCATCCAACTAACAACTGCATCATGCATTAATCTATCTAGAAAAAACACCTTAATATTTTTGGTCTTTTTTTAGAAGAAAAAAAGGCCCCAAGAATTTTATGAAAGCTTTTTGGTTCAGCCATTAGCAATCTTCTGCTGAGTATTTGAAACATTGCTTATTTTAATTGCTTCACAGGAGAAAAAAATATCAAAGATGCCATTCTCTATTTCCAAACTTTGTAATTATTTCTCTCAGCCATTTGAAATAGCTTAAAAGTATTTTCATTGAAATGTAGATTTCTTCCATTTCAAATATACTTTTGTTCTCCAGTATTTCTTTTCCTTTCCTTTGGCTACTTCTTCTCTAGTCTCCTCTGCAGCAATACCTGGAGTTCGGCCTCTGAAAACGATAGCAGAGAGATCCATGACTGTGCTCACACAAGCAGGTATCTCCCCATTATTTAAATGTACCATCTCCACCAGAAGCCCATCCTCTGCATGCTCTAAGGACTATAGTAATACTAGTTAACTTGTTCATAGAATTTCTCATCTGCTGATCTCAAAAAGAGGTAAGTATCATTTATTCCCATTTTATGGATGTGGAAAGTGAAGCCCTGAGAGATTCAAGTTGCCAGCAAACAAGTGGCAAAGCCAGGAATAGACCTCTGGTCTACTGAATCCCACTCCGGTGTTCTCTCCACTCGACAACCCTATCTCCCAAGTCACATTTCAAGCCTATACTTCAAATCGACTAATTTCAAAAACAGGAACCTAAGATTAGTCTCTGCACATTTCAGTTTGCAAGGGGTTGGTTTTCATAAACATCTAAATGATATAAGAGCATAAGTAACATTCACTTCAGTGGAATAGGTGTGGGAACAAATTAGCCACATCAGGGATCTTGTTAGTCACAGGTGCCTACCATCCTAATTATCCCTGGGGACGGATCTACCCCCTAAAGCCTTTCCCACTGGAATCTGCCCCAGTTAACCTACAGATAAATTAAATAGTAACTCCAAAACTGCAAAAGAACAACAGTAAAAAGAATCCTTATGAAAACCTCAGACACATTTTGCTGGGGATGCCTTAAGATTTTCTCTGTCTCAATCCACTGTTGGCTATCTCCTCAGTTTCATACCTGCAACTGCCATATGTAAGGACAGACTTTCCATATTGACATTAAAGACATGCAAATCTTTAAAATTATCCCTTGAACACACTTACTTCAATCTGGAAAAATGAAACTTGGATGTTCAGAAAGCTTTTAGACTCAAGACTAGAGATCTTTTTAAAAGATATGCACTAAAAGCTCTACCAGAAGTGATGTGCTGGATGCAGAAATTACAAAGTCTGTTTCCAAGATATTCAGGAATTCACACTAGATGGTCATAATGAGGTCTTCTGGCCTTCCGATTTATGAAACACATCATCTCCAGTTTCAACCCGTGAGGACTGCACACTCCCCATTTCACAGAGCTTCATATTTAGATTGTATCCAATATCTTAAAGTGTAACTCATTCTAAAATTTGCCATGTGTTTTGCCTGGTCTTAATGTCAAAACCGTAAGAATCTACCATGGGGGATGGTTCAGCTTAGTATCATTTGAAGGATTTATCAACGTCAGTGAATATTTCAGTGAGCTTCCACTGAGTTTGGGAGTTGTGATGAAACCTGGAGACAGGTGAATTCTGTGTGGCTTTAGGCATATCAGACCTACATGTTTGGTGTGTGAAGGAATTTACTAACTAAACTCTGCATTTGTTTCTCACTGAACTTGAACATCAGTCACAAAGCATTGAGGTCCTGTTGGACTCACCATCAGTGTTCCCTCTAAATCTTTCCGCCTATGTGCAGAATAAATTTTGTTATTTGCACAGAGGTATGTGTGGCTGTGCACAACAAGTAGAAACACATGCTACCAGCTGTGGGTACTCTGCTAATTAGCTGGGCAGCATTTGAATCTCTCTGAGTGGCCACCCATGTGGTCAAGTTATAGGGAACACTGCTCACCACTGATCCTGGATATGAAGGCAGCCACAGTAGCAAGACATTATTTCTTCATCCTATAGTTTGACAGGAAACTACACCACTTACTCTTAGATGAGGATCAGGCCACAATGATCTATGTGTTCACCATTTTTTGGCTGCGCCTTAGCAGCTCTAAGTATCCAGGTGTGAAGATGTGTGCTACTAAACTCACTTCAGTAGAATGCAGCAGCTTTCCTCCTGAGCAGGAAAAGACACAGAGAAAATATCATATGATGCTCAACATCTGAGAATGTCCTCTAGCCACAGCTGTGCTTCTCTGGGATGATGCACCTATGGGCAGCTACACAAAACTCATGGGAGCCAAAACTAAGGTGTTCTTGGTTTCTGTGTCCTCAGCTGTGGAACAAAAGTATGGAAAGGGATGAGACTGAATCCAAGCAATACATTCTCCATACCCAGTTTTTACATAAACTTTTTGGCAGCAACCAAAGACAAGGAACCAGAACAGCAAAAATGAAAGAAAAAAGAGAAAGAGGCAGGGGGCCAAGCTGTCTACAGAAAAAGCAGAAGTTTTATAAAAAAAAAACTCTTTGGCTATGTCTACATTGACAAGATTTTGTGCAAATACTTTTAACGCAAGAGTTTTTGCGTTAAAGTATTTGCACAAGAGAGCGTCTATGCTGGCATGTGCTTTTGCACAAGAGATGGGCTTTTTCACAAAAGCATCCGTGCCAGTGTAGACACTCTCTTGCGCAAGAAAGCTCCGATGGCCGTTTTAGCCATCAGGCTTTCTTGCACAAGAAATTCATGTTGCCAAGAACAGTTGCGCATGAGGGCTTTTTCCTGAGCGGGAGCATCATAGTTCTTGCGCAAGAAGCACTGATTTCACACATTAGAACGTCAGTGTTCTTGCGCAAGTACTCCTCGCCAATGTAGACGGGTAGCATGTTTTTGCTCAAAAGCGCCCGCTTTTGCGCAAAATCATGCCAATGTAGACACAGCCTGTGTGTTTTGTGCTCCTATGCTACAATACTAGATTCTACATCCTAGGTATAACTAGCTAGATTAACTTCTTGCTCTCTCTTGTTCACAACAAACATGAACAAACCCCTTTTTTGCCTTAAATGTCTTCACAAATAGTTTCAGGACTTGTTGGGGACAGAGAGAGGAAGCAAGTGAGGCAGAATATTTAGAAGCTTCTCAACAATACAAATACCCTCAGGTCATGTTTGCCAGACTTCAGTAAAAGCAACAGACAATCCAAAAGTCAGAAAGTCTCTAAGTCTTGATGCATAGATCTAATTTTGTTGCAATCTCTACCTGCTTACAACCTTGTCATTATCTGAGCAGCGCTTTGTGTATTACTTGGAACCACATATAGTGAAATCGAAGAATCTTAATTGGAAGATTTAAATGGGTAGCTGAACGAATGCTAGCTGTGGCAAGAGTAAACCTTCATGATACCTGGGACAGGACAAATAACATAGTCAAAGAAAGAATGAATTATATTATTACAGGTTGAACCTCCCTAGTGCAGAACTCTCAGGTCTGGAAACATGTCTTCCAAAATGATTTTACTTAGCCAGATGTCTACTTTTCATGGGTTTGGCTAAATTTCCCAGAGTCCCATAAAGTTTTTTTTTACAACCACCAGTTCTGGCTCTCAGTGTTCTGTGCTGTTATTTAGCTCTAATTTGCCCCTAAATATCGTCTAAAAGCCAAGTGTGTAGAGGAAGTGTTGGTAATGCTGCTAGACAATATTGACCACCCATGGTTCTGAAAATTCTCTGGTTTGGAGTTAGTCAGGTCTTAAGGGTTCTGGGCTAGAGAGGTTCAACTGTAGTATTGCCACTTCAAAGAATGCATTTAAATATTTAGTCACAACGACTCAAAGAAGGTTGTTCAAAATAGCAACAGAGATAGCACTTACTAGAGAGCTAGATTGTGAAACCTTAACTCACATTAAGTAGAACTGCGTTCCCAAGCAGTTCCATTGATTTCACATGGAAGAGACCCTGTAGTAGTCATGCCATTTCTTGCTTCTTGATTTTGATGGGACAGCAAAGGTATGAGGCCAACATGAGTGAGAGTCTCACAGGCTAGCCTGGAATGACATCTGTCAAAGAGAAGGTTTTAATGCATGTAAATTGTTCCCATATTGTATGCTAAGAGTTATTTTTGCATCTTTGTATTTTTTTGAATATCTTAGAATGTTGCAAACAAAATGAAAGAAAATGTTTCCATGCACTGTAAAATACAAATGGCATAAAAAAATTACTCAATACATCAGACAGTAAAAGTAGCATAACTAATGTGTATTATAGGATCCCTTACAAGTGATATGCTAAATCTCAAGGGGCTGAAGTGATAAAATAATTTGATGTATAAATGATGCAGCGGTTGCTATGGTAACAATGTATGCTTTATTGAATAGAACAAGAAATGGTCAAGTAAAGCTTGATAGCTAGGCTGGGGATTAAAGATAGACTTTGGCACTGTGGGAAATCCAACTTGAACTAGAATCCACTTGCCTTGAAGTTTTATTCTTGCTCTAATTGTGTCTAAATTTGGGGCTTTCTCCTTCAGAACCCAGCTTTTTTCCCCACTTGATTCTAGAGTGAAATAATAATAATAATTAAACAGTGAATAAATTCTGTGTTTGTCTTTGCAGTGAATCAAGCCTCAGTCATTGTGATAATTCCAAGAAAGTGAGAACTCCTATCTGAAATCTTCATTTGGTATAAAAATGAATCTGTTCCTGCCATGTAAATATGCCTGTTTTACCTCAGTCTTTGCTTACCTTCTATTTTTTAATTTTCTCCTTTCAATGGATTAGTCAGAACTGTTCCTGGGCTGGAAGTGGGGATTGGACAACAAGAACTTGAACCTTATTGGATGAAAATGGAAAGCAAGAGTAGTTGAGATCCAAAAGCTGTTGCTATCACAGTCTTACAAAAATGTCATGCAAAGAGCAAGTGCAAACTTCCAAGACAGTCTCCCTTGCTTCTCAGTCAGCAGCAGCAGTGAGGAAAAGAGATGGGAGTCTTTCTAGCTGCATCTGAGAATACTGGTCCATTAAAGCCATACTAATTCTGGTTAATTTAGGTGGATTCTGGCCTGTGAGGTGGTAGGAGAATTATAGGATGTGTTCTGTTAGACCCATCCTTTTCTAGTTTACAGTTCATTCAAGTAATAGAGGTGGCTTCTCTTCAGTGTAAGAAACAAACATTACACGGGTTTCTCACTGCCTCCATATTATGCTACAAGACATGTATGTTGCTGTTATCTTAATCCCCACCCTGTTCCTCAGTAAAGGAATTTTGAATGGTGTTTCTTGTCCATTCCCCTTCCATCCCCTTTCCCCCTCCTACCCCCACACACACTACTACCACCACTACCAGCATATGGACACCTTGTCTGGATTTTTGTTGTGTTCTACCTTGGTCTATTACTGACAAAGCCTTGATTATGAACATCTAAATGGGGATAATATCTGCATTTTAAGGTATATTTTTGACTGCAACTCTTTTGTTGTTACAGGCATAACCATGGGTGTACACAGCATGTAAGCACACATCAAAGATGTGCATATTTCCATTGTATCTCCACTTCTCTCCCTTTCAGTGGGAGGGAAGATGCAAGGCTGTTCCCCCTCCCTCACAATTGGGACTGAGTTGCTTTCCATCTTGCATTGTATTAAACACATAGGCTGTGTCTAGACTGGCATGATTTTGCGGAAATACTTTTAATGGAAAAGTTTTTCCGTTAAAAGTATTTCCGCAAAAGCGTGTCTAGATTGGCACGGATGCTTTTGCGCAAAAAGTGCTTTTGCGCAAAAGCATCTATGGCCAGTCTAGACACGATTTTGCGCAAGAAAGCCCCGATCGCCATTTTAGCCATAGGGGCTTTTTTGCGCAAAACAGTTCTTCCCTGTCTACACTGGCCCTCTTGTGCAAGTATTCTTGCACAAGAGGGCTTTTTCCCAAGCGGGAGCGTGAACGTATTTGCTCAAGAAGCACTGATTTTGTACATTACAAAGTCAGTGCTCTTGTGCAAATTCAAGTGGCCAGTGTAGACAGCTGGCAAGTTTTTGCTCAAAAGCAGCTGCTTTTGCGCAAAATGTTGCCAGTCTAGACGCACCCATAATGTACAACTAGGAGAACTGCACCCGGGCAACTTGTGGTGTTTTTCTTTTCCTAAACTGGTTAGACAACAAAAACAAGGTGTATGAAAGAAACTGTCCATCTCCTTCATTCCCCAAAAGTGCATTGTGCTGCCCAGGGAGTGCACAGCTGGATTCTCTTTGCATAGGGGCATCACATAGCTGATGGCATCCTCTTGTCACAATGTCCATGTTGTAGAATTATAGAAATGGAGGGCTTCAAGTGACTGAGACAGGTCATCTCCTCTTGCTGTGGACCAAGTATTCCTAGAGCATCCCTGACAGGTATGCCTAACCTGTTCTTGCATACCTCCAATGATGGGGACTCCATAATCTCCTTTAGTCACCCTTTCCAGGACTCAACTTCCTTACAAACATTTTTCCCTTGCAGATTAAACCAATTATCCTTTGTCCTACATGTGTCATGTATTTTGGTGTCACGTGCATGGTAGGGACTGCAAGGGAACATGCCAGAAGCACATTGTGTTGCAGTAATCCTGCCCGGCAGAGTGACCGCTAGCAAGATGTTGTTTCTGGTATGCGTTACACTATCTCTGAGGCTGCTCTAAGTTACTCCTCAGGCTGATCTGACCTTGAGATGCCCTGAGGATCAGGGAAGGTAAAAATGAGTTGGATCCATCTTTCTGTCCTTGCACCCATCACTCAAATCATAGGCTTGCCTCTCCTCCCTATAAAACATGAAGCTTGTTTGGGAACTGGAGCACTGATTGCCCTGTTTTCAGTATGGCGTAATGCAACAACACGTTACTTATACCCATTCTGGAAACTGGGTATGGCACACTGTGCACTGTCCCATTGAAGCTGTTAGATTCCTTAGCTACTTACAATTCACTAGTTAGCTACACTCTTCAGGTTTGCATTCTTCACAGATATGCCTCCTTGAGGAGATTTGAGGGAACAGAATGGTGCCGACATGCAAAAACCAAAGGTAATGTAATAGCTGTTGCTTGTGTTTTTTAATTATCAGAGAATCATGCTGGTTTTTAAGTGTTCTAGAAAAGCCATTACAACACTGCTGCCACCAACCTCTGGGTTGCCTTAAGACAGCTGCCACAAATAAGCATTCACACTTTTCCTCTTTTCTTTTATTAACTCCTTGCTTACCACTGGCTGGAGGAATTTGTTTATTTATCTTAATGAAGTGTCTGTTCAGGGCGACTGGGCGGCCCAAGAGCTTTGTAATGCAATAAAGAGTCTTTTATGTCTAGCTTGTGAGTTCAAATCCAGCACATCTGGTAAGTATCCAAAAGCCAATACTATCAGAAGCTGCGTGGTGAGCTTTGTGAAATGAGTTAGGCCATCTCTGCTTGTTTACAAATGCCAGCTTCACCGTAAAAAGTGACCCAGTTAGTACTAAGTATCACCCATTTTTTACTTTCTTAGGAGAGAGAGAGAGGTTAGGGACATGGGTGAGCCATGAAAACTCAGCCACCCATTCATCCCTGATGATGAGTTTCATGAGGTCAAGATTTGAAGCACATGGACGAGGAAGCTTGCGCCCCTGCAAACTATGCTTCTCCTTTTCTCTTCATACGGGATTTAAAATCTGAAGTTTTCAAACCTGACTGGCAGCTATTAGGCTCCTAAATGTGTATTTAGCCACGGAAATGTAATGGCCCAGTTTTTGTATGTAGATTGGCGGATATGCGTTTTATATCTGCGGGTCATTTTTGCAGATACGGATGCAGATGCGGGTACAAATTTTGTATCTAGAATCCCGCAAATTTGCAGATCTCTGCTTTATATCTACAGGGATCTGCAACCATGGATGTGGGTCTGAATAACTGCAGATCATTTTTGCAGATGCGGATATGGATACCAATTTTGTATTCACACAAGGCTCTATTCATATATGATGCTTATAATATCAGTGAAGTCTGTAGGAGCTGAAAGGATGCAACATCTGTGAACTTTTATTTGAGTGCTTAAAAAGTCAACTTTAACTCTTAAGGTATCAAGTATTTCCATCCATGCTGGAAATTAAATATACATACTGGAAGTGTATATCCTTCAGTGCACATAGAGTTAATATGTTAGGAATTATCTGGAGGGCATCTCTTCAGGTGTTGATCAGGAAAACACTGCATGGGCTATTAAAATAGCTACTTTTGGTAGGGTTGCAGGTCAGGGGTAGCTTACTCCTATATCCTCCCTTGTAGTCTGACCTGTGAACCACTCTTTTTAAGGTCAGGCCCTTAACATCAGGAACCTGTTAGAAAGAAAGATGGGATAATTTATAAAGCTGTTGCCATTCTTAGGGTTAGGTGTGGAGGTAGAGGGGGGGATACAGCCCAATAAATCTTGATCTATTGAAAAACAAACCACACTTAAATTTGAATCACAAGCTCATTCAAATCTGAGAGTCCTGGCCAAAAAGTCAACAAGCTTGAACTTGCCCACAATGTACTAGTCACCATGATCAATTTCTAATCATACTCTGGAGCCCTAATGATAATATTCTCTTCTGTTAGTTACTGTTTAATCTGTAATATCTTGATGCAGGAGTTAAATTGGTATACCTGTGTTAATTAAACAGAAGACAGCAGAGACAGTTTTCATTCCGAAATTCTTTTGAGTAGATTGTTTCCCAGTGCTTCACAACTGGGAAAAAATAACAAATCCAGACACATTGTGAATAATTTTAAGCCCTGCTGAAGAAGCTATTTTACTCATACAGTGATCTATGATCTTTTTTTGTAACATGGTATATTTAATTATTTTGCTGCTCTATGTCCGTTTCCTTTACTTTTCTCCTTTTCTCAGTGTGCATATGCATGTGTACATTCATAACAATCTTTTACTCTTAATCACAAGGAAGCGTGCACATGCATAGGTGCCAGGACTGGAAAAAAAAAACAAGTTCATGAATTGTACTTTCAAACTTTGTCTGCAGATTAGTATATGCAAACATACGTCTGCCCCTCTTCGTCTTGGATAATTGGTCACAAATGCTACTTGACACTTTTCAAAGCAGACACTTTAAATACTTCTGAACATTGCTGAACTTTTTGGCAGGAATTCATTTGCTTTCTAGCCCAGCCACTCATTCATGACCCAGTCCTGCCATTCATATTCCGCAGTGTTCTGCCAGAGTGAAAGAAGCAAACACAAGACCAGAGTCGTAACTGGTTTAAGGCAGCATACTTCCATTGGATTCCATTGGAGATGCATCAATTTAGAACAGCTAGTGTTCCTGCCTTTGCCAATACTAGTTAACCAGGGCATTTTAGTCTCAGACGCCTCTTTATAAGTTTAAACTTTCAGACTACTCTGTATATATTGTAGCACAATGGATATCTGAAGGGATGAGGTCACACCATATTGTCAGAAAACACATCACATTTTAATGCACCTGTAGCCATCACACATGGATACCAGCTCTAGGGCTAGCCACAGATGACCCTGTCTGGCAATTCTCATTCACCCAGCCCCTTTCAAACCTGCCCATGTACAACTCAGCTGGTGGAGGGGAAAGTCCATTAATAGATAGATAGATATGTTTCAGTGAATACACTGAAAAATAAATACCAGTAAATGGAAAACAAGTGACTTAGAGTGTTCCATATAATTTCGTGCTGGTAATCAGTCCATTGTTTGTGCTGACATTCTGTGACTGCTGTGTGTTTACTTAACATGCACAGTTACTGTAAGAACGGAGCAGCCTGTACAGCCCACTTAGAAGTGCTTGCCAGATCCCAGGGAGG